TTGTTAATAAGTTATTGCCCTCCCAGTTTGGGGGACAGTGAGTGAGTTCTTGCTCTATTAGTTTCCACAAGACCTGGTTGTTAAAAAGAGAGTGACACCTCCCCTCTCTTTTGCTTCCTCTCTTGCCATGTGATTTCTGCATATGCTGTCTACACTTTGCCTTTATTCATCAGTGAAAGCAGCTGAGGCCCTGCTCTCCAGAAGCCAAGGAAATATTGGAACCATTCTTCTGTATAGTCTGCATAACTGTGAGCCAAATAAGCCTATTTTCTTTATATATTACTCAGCCTTCGTTATTCTTTTATAGTAACATAGAAATGAACTAAGATAAAGGCCATGACTTAAATTTACTCTTTTGAGGTTATTTTTCTATATTTTCTAGGCATACTTCATTCTTTTGTTTTTTGCCTCTGACAGTGTGTTTTCAAATAGGCTGTAGGCTACTTTCTTTCAGCACTTTGAAGATATCACTGACTTCCGGCTTCCACTGTTTATGCTGAGAATTCAGCTGTTAGACTAATTTAGTTCCTTTGGGGGTAATCTGCTTTCCTCCTTCACTCCTCTCACCTCTGGCTGCGTTAAGATTTTTCCCTTTATTTTCAGCAATTTTACTTTTATGTGTCTAGAACTTGTTTTCTTTTTACTTCAGCATAACATTTATGTACCTCCCAAATCTGAAGATTGATATCTTTTTGTCCGGATTGGAAAACTCTTAATATTGCTATTGCCCTATCCACTGTCTCATCTTCTTCTCAGACTGCAGTTAACACATACATGAAACCTATTCCCTGTATTCCACATAGCTGTCAGTCTTTATTTTCTACTCTCTATGTTTCCATTTTTTAATGCATCATTATAGATATTTTCTTCCGACCTGTCTTATAGTTCATTAATTATTTCTTTAGCTGTGTCTAAAATGCTGTTAAGACTATGCATTGATTTCTTGATTTTAGTCATTTTATTGTTCAGTTCTAGAATTTTCACTTGAATTTTTTTAATGTTTTGGCTCTCTGACAAAAATATTTTATTTCAATAAGCATATTATACATAGTTTTTAAATTAAGCTTTTAATTTTAAGAGAATCATAAAATCACATGCAGTTGTAGGACAGAATAAGGATTGGTGTACTCTTCATTTAGTTTTCTACAATGTTTCAGAATGGTAATATTCAGGATACTGATTTGGATGCAGCCAAGATACAGAACACCTCTATCACCAGAAGAATCCCTCATGTTGCTGTTTTACAGCCATATCCACTTCCTGCCTAGCCTACCCTCTTTTCCTACCTCAGCAACCACTAATATCTTGCCATTCTATAATTTCATCATTTCAAGAATGTACATAAATAGAATCAAAAAGTACATAAACTTTTGGTATTGGCTTTTATTCATTCAGTATAAATCTCTGGAAATTCACTCAGGTTGTTGTGTGTATCCACAATACTCTTTGTTTTATGCTTAGTGTTTCATGGTACGGATTATGATAGTTTGCTTAAATACTCACTCACTGAAGGACGTCTGGGTTGTTTTCAGTTTGGGCAACCAGGAATAAAGCTGCTATAAACATTTGTCTACAAGTTTTTGTGTAAAGATAAGTCAGCCTTTATTGATACCTAAAGGACTTTGTTATTGCTGGGACTTCCGGATTCCCATGTGATCTCCACTGACACCATGATAGGGGTTACCTTGTTACTGCTGAGTGATGGTGAAATTCCTGATTCTCTACTAGGCCTTCCTTGATACAAACCACCCTAGTGGGGAGAAAAAGGGATGTCATAGTACAGCTGGGTGGGTAGGGAGTACAGGCTTCTCACATGGTCTCTATGACACTGTGGTAGTGGTACTGGGTTATTTGTTATTACAGTTGGATAAAAGTCCTAGTTTCCTACTCAGCCTTCTCTAGTACTACTCCACAAAGGGGTTATAAGGAAGTTTCATTACAGCCCGGCAAGGATGAAAGTGTAGGTTTTTTATGTGGCCTTTGTTGGCATAGGTGAGAGTGGAGCTACAGGTTTTTCTGTTTTTATTTTGCTATAGTATGGCAATTATGCATAAAAGTTTTTCTAGGCCTGCCCACTTCCTGGTCTTTCAGTTTTCATTTGAAATTTCTTTTTTTCTCTGCCTATTGGTGGTTTTGGATTACCACCTTTTCCAACTCCAATCTTGGGCTACATGAAGCAAAACAAACAAACAAACAAACAAAAAAAAAACCTGGGGAACTCATACTGTGTTGTTCCTTAAGTCCAGAAATCCCTAGCCAGTCTTCCCTATTCTCTCTACTTTTTGTCTTCTTGTATTCACTTCATATATAATGTTCAGGGATTTAGTTGTACTTAGCAGCACAAATAGAGAAAAGTACATCTATTCAATATTTCCAGAGTTGAAGTCTCTCAAGTATAGTTATTTTAAGCCTTTTTCTGGCTTTCTTAAAGGTACATTTCTGTTGACTGCAGTTTATCTTGGATTTTGGTCATGTTGTCTTGTTTCATCACATAGCTGATTATCCTGGATTGGTTTTGTAAGGTACTATACATATAAAACATTAATGATAGTTTGAGGCTTAGATTTATATTATTTTGTCCAGAGGGAATTTATTTCTTGTATCCAGCTAGCAGAAGCAATAATCTGAAATACTTTAATCACAGCTTGAGATAATTCAAAATGGGGCTTTAGTCATTTTAGGACTGTTCTATTTGTAGTTCACTCTTACTCTTACAGTATGAACCTTTAGGGACCTAATTCAATGTATGAGTGGTTTACCTGGACTGCTCCTGAGTCCTCACCAGACCATGAACTCTAACTTTTGTTTCACTAGAACTGTCTTTCTATTGAAAGCTGTGCTCACCCTTTCTGTTGACAGGTGGACAGTTGCCTATTCCAGAACTGACAGATGCTTCTGGGGAAAGTGCAGCCATAAGAGCTGGACTTGCTTCTCTTGAAATCCCATTTCCTCCTAGATTTTCATCCTAGAATTCTTCGCCTCTTCAGTAGGTCTCTGATGCTCTCAAACCAATTAAAAACAAATTTAAACACACATGCACACCCATATGCATGTGCACAGACCTCTGCAGCATTTTTTAGTTTCTCAGAAGTGAAGTTAGTCCTAATTATTTAGTGTGTTATTGAAATCAGGCTTCAATCATTCTGTTTGGTTTTTATATAAGCCATCCTGACTAGAACATAAATTGCTCCTGTGTGGAAACCATTACCTATGCATCCAGAATCCCCAGAACCTAACATGTTGTCTATCACACAATAAGTAATTGCTGTATTAAAAAAATAACACATACAAATCTTGATAACTAATTAGAATATGTGGTTTGATGATAAAAGTAGAATCATTTATCATTTCTAGACTTCTAATGTTCGATAATGGTCACGCCATTTCCAGAAATAACATCAAGAGAAAGAAGAATAGAACTGGTGGGAAGAGAACATTTGTTCTAGATGTAGCTGACTGATATATTTGTGAGGTACTTAAGTAAAGTTATTCAGATGAAAATGAGAAAGTGAATGAGGACTTCTAAAAAGGTGAGAACTAACTACATACCTCAAGAGTCATTTGTGGTAAGGATCCTAAAAGAAAGAGAAAATATAAAGAGACAGGAGCTGAATAGAAGACATGAAAGAATGGCTAGATATACCTAGGAGATGGAATAATAATTAAGACACTGTAAAAAAAAACAGATGAGTGTTCAGGGTAGAAAAATGAAAGCCAGAGAATACAGAAAAATGGAAGATAATGAGAAAGAGATTTTAGAGGAAAAACAATGACCAACAATGTCAAGTGTGGCAGAAAGGTCAATGAGGCTCAGGAATAAAAGTCTTATAAAAATACCAGCTATCTTCTGAGTACTAATGGAAGGCAGGAATGTGGAGGGTTGGAAAGTGTTGAGTTTTTAAGTGAGAAATAAGGTTTAGAAAAGGATATAAACAAATTTAATAAGTTAAAAGAAAAATAATAACGAACAGATTTGAGGTCTTTAAAGGAGGCAGGTAGTACTGATTTGAGGTCTTTAAAGAAGGCGGGTAGTAAATATTTGAGTGGACATGAATTTGCACAATTTTATGGCTTTTTTCAACAAGGTTAGCATCTTGGGGTAAATATAAGAGAAGGAGGACATGAAAAATTCAGTTTTATAGACTTTGAAGAATAAAAAAGGAAATGGTGACTAAGATACAGATTTGGGAGTTATCGACATAGAAATGATAGTTGAAAATAGGCTATGTAGGTACTTGTATGCAATAACTTCTATCAGTAAAAAGTGGATTTTTTTTTTTACAGAGAAATAACAGCTAACCTAAAAAGCCCTTTTATATCTTTTAATAAATTGTAGATTGATTTTTGAGAACCTGAAAATTGCCTTATTTTAATTTGTAGAATAATCCTATAATACCAAATAATAATTTGAATCCTACAGTTGTAATTAGCAAGAGAACATTCATAAAACCTGCCAGAATTACAAATGTATGCTTGAATACAACAGTTGTTGAACCAATATTATGAAAAATTCTCCTACCCCTTACTTCTATGTATATATAGTACATTATTTGGGGGGGGAACAGGAACAAAACAAAACATATGCAGAGATAGTATTCTACCAGCAGAGACCTGAAGGGCTATAAGAGTTGTTCATGATCAATATCTGTTCTAGTTAGAGTTAAGTGCTTATGCCTTACTGGATGTGAAATATTCTAATTCTTCCTCATATAGTATCATCACTGAACTACTTAATATAACATTTTAATACTTCAAAAATTCTAAAGCATATTTTGCATACATTGTCATTACAATGAGCCTTCAGGACAAGAAGGAATCATTAGAGCTCCCCCTTTATTGATAATTAACCTAAGATACAATTGTTGTGAACTTGTTATTGACATTATGCTCAAAGTTTCTTATACTAATAACAGTGACTCTGCATAAATTCACCCGAAGACTAAAAGTCAGTTTACTTACAATATAACATAGTTATTCTTATTAAAATAAAATCCTCATACCATTTGGTGATGCCATAACAATCTTTAATAATATCCTGAAGAACAGCACGATAGAAGAGTGATTCAGTAGGCAGCTGAAAAAAAACGCAGACATATATAAGATCAAGAAACAAATAAAAAACAGAAATAAAATAAATGCCAGAATGTTAGAACCATTAGTGAATGTCAGAAACCCGACTTTGTTGCTAAACACAGAGGATGACTTTATAATTTTTCTATTTCAAGTAAAAGTGTTACCTTAGGCTAATTTTTGTGAAAGTTAATTCTAAAAAAAAAAGAAAAAAAAAAAAAGAAGGAACCATAAAAGAAACAGCAGTGAATAAGAAATAAAAGTTATAATCAATGAACAATAAGTTAATGTCCAAATGGAGCCCTTATCAGTTAAAAATGAAAAATACTTTCAAGACCAGCCAAGTCAGCTCTGGAGCATTTAAGAATCAGGAAGGATATGTGTGAAAAAAAAGAGAATGTAGATCTGTCTTAATGGAGGTGGAATAAAGATAATAACAGCTAGGAGTCACACCAAGAAAGAAAGATCCTACCCTAAGTAAAGAAATATAAAGATATGTCCGAGGTCTGAAAGACAGCATTGGCTATCACAAAGTTGAAAAGTAGAGCCTGGGAAAGAACACAGGATAAGAGACTGCACTCTCAGCAATGCTTCACTTCTTGCAGAGATATGAGAGATGTCCTATAAAGGTTCAAATGTTTTTGAATGGAAAGGAACAGCTGAAGAGAAGGGTTCCAATGAAGTATAATTATTTCAAAGGAGCAGAAGGTAAAATATTGCTATTTATAAAGAGCACTTCACTGCAGCAATACAAGTGCTCAATCTAAGAAACTACAAAAGTCACCAAAACCCTAACCACATCCCGACAGATCTTGATATTGACAGTATGGAACATCAAACATAAAATAATGTCAGCAGCAATAACCCAGCTTGCAGGCAGTTTTCTTTTAATAAGTAGAAACAGAAGTAGGTCAACAGTACTGAATGTTTTTAAGAAGTCAAACAAGGTAAAACTCAAAACTGTCCAATGACTGGTAAAGTTTTAAAGATATAATTCAGTGGAATGTGTATATCCATGGAGTTATCCTTTTGTGACATTTATTATCCTTTGGAGTCCAAAACTGTTATTTTCACATGTTTTCAACTAGAATAAATATGTTTGAATACAGATGGAGCTCATAGCAAAATAAAGTTTTCATGCTCCGGCAGAAAAGTTACTCTACTGCCCCTCTCCCTCATTTAACATTAACTTCCCATTCTGTGCTGCTGAGACTACAGCTTGGGAGCTGAGGGTCATTTTTTTACATCTTCCCCTGATGGCATTGCCCTCTGAAGTCAACAGAGAACATACTTGTAGACTCGTAGAGCATTGTGAAAGAATACAGGTTCTACCGCTGGAAAGTGGTGTAACAAATATCACAGTCCCCAAATAACTGCTAAAATAATTCACTGTAGGTAGACTCATACATATGCTTGAGCACCCACACTAAAACCTGTAACATTTGAAAAGCACAATTCTTATATCAAATCTCTTTCTCGCCAGGCATGGTGCCTGTAATCCCAGCAGTTTGGGGGGCCAAGGCAGGTGGATCACCTGAGGTCAGGAGTTCAAGACCAGCCTGCTAACATGGAGAAACCCTGTCTCTACTAAAAATACAAAAATTAGCTGGGTGTGGTGGTGGGCACCTGTAATCCCAGCTACTCAGGAGGCTGAGGCAGGGAGAATCATTTGAACCCGGGAGACGGAGGTTGCAGTGAGCCACGATTTTGCCACTGCACTCCAACATGGACAACAGAGCGAGACTGTCTCAATCAATCAATCAATCAAATCTCTTTTCAAAGTTGTCACAAATGCCTTCACTTGAGACAAAAACTATTGATTTCAAAGTTTTCCTTTCCTTACAAATTACACCAAGACATTTCATTTAGAATTTCTTAATCTCTGGATATATTTTCCATTTGAGATTTTCTCATCTTGAGTAACTCTTTTCTACAGCACCAAAATCTCTACCTTATCATCTGTCCCCCATTACCTTAAAAATCCTTTCATTTATCTCATAATATATTTTCATATATTAACACCTATTCTTATAAAATTTTATTGAAATTCAAAGCCACTTTGGAAAATCTACTCTTGCATGAATTGAAATATAAGTACTATAAATGGCTTAAAATGTTCTTAACTTTTTGTTTGACTAGCTATAATAGATAAGTTTAATTTTATATGAAACACCTAAAAGTAGTTTAAAACTCTTCTTTCTCATGCCTTTGAACAAATTACATTAAATGGTATCAAGATTTAGAAATAGTTACATTGTTATTAAAATGATTGTAAAATACAACCAAAAAGAACAAAAAGTGCATTTTAAACAAGAGAACATAAAAACATGGAATGCACACACAAAAAAATACAGCAGAACAGAGTAAGTCATCATTCCCAAGTTACTCTGAGTAAATAAGAGCTTTACAGATGTTTCCTAAGAGAAAGGGAAGAGGTTATAAAATGCCTTCAAATGTGCATTCCTGGAATAACTAGGACCATCTATCCTGGTAAATACAGATACGTAAGTGGGAAGGGAATCAGTATCTCCTGAACAGTCTGTGCCTGACTATTTCAAGAATAAACTGGACATGGCTCAGAGTTTATTTCACTTAAGTGATAGATTAACTTACACTTTAATGCATTCTTGAAATGAGGGAGAACACAAACTGTACACCCTTAAAGCATGTGTATCAGACATGCATTTTACAGGTCTAGTGGAAAGAGCACTAAGTTGGAAGTCAAGGCTCTGCAATTAATTAAGGGAACTAGAACACACTATTAAACTTTTGCTACATATAATTCTCATGTAGGTTTAGGATAATACCCAACTGACGAGTGTAAGTATGAGCAAACACTTGTAAAACTAAGAAACACCACAGTAATGCATTGGAGTATGATGATAAAAGCTCTTTCTTTTTTCCTAGACCTCTAGAAAACCATTAAGTTAATATGTAGTATAGTAGTTAAGAGCTTGAACTCCATACTCAGATTCAAGTCTCAGTCTTTGTTACCTTACAGTCTCTCATGTGTATAATGGGATAATAAGAGTACATACTATATGGTGCTATGTATTTACTACCTCAGTTGATGAGAAAATTTTCTAAACAGTATTTTAAACAGTACTTTTAAGCTCTGTGTCAAATTTAGCTATTATTTTCATGATCATAATTATTAATTATCTGTAACAGCAACAACAGTTGACATTTATTGAGCATTTACTATATGCTAGATATTGTTTTAAGCATTTTACATTTTTCATTCACTTAATCCTCACAACCCTATAGAAAGGTATTATAATTACTCCTATTTTTTTTTCTATTTTACAGATAAAGAAATTAAGCTACAGAGAAATTACAACATGTGTCCAAGGTCATTAACTAGTAAGTGATAAAGACATGATGCAAACCAGCAGTTTGTAACTAAAGTCCCACACACCTAAAGTCCCCCAACTCAAATGATAGGCTCTAATGCTAATGCCTTCAAAAGAACCAGATTTTATCAATTTTAAGATAGGCAAAGTGACTATACCAAAAAGAAAACTACACACAAAATGCTTATCAAAGTTCCTGATCCAGAGTAATCACTCAGTAAAAAATTGTTATTAAAATTATTTTTAAAATTATACTTTACACAATTCAAATTGACATATTAATGTTCCCTGAACAAAAGCAAAAGAAAGATTTCTAAACATTAGGTTAAATTTAAAAATTTTATGAAAGGGTTAAAAAAACTGTTAAAAAATTCTTAATGTTTCCTGAACACAAGGTAAACAATAAGACAATTACATGGATATTTTGAGGATTATATTTAACTTTTATTTCTAAGTGCAAACCCATTTGGCTCTGCAGATAATGGCTAATCAAGTCAGTAAAGAAGAAAGTTATCAAGCAATCAACTGAAGTATGTGTACTGGACTGTAGTTAAAATAGTGTACTGAATAATATAGATTATTTTTGCTTGAACTAGGCAGATAAAAACCTAATTGTCAACAACAGCATTCTTTAAAAATATTTATGATTTAGTCTAATATGAAGAAATGAGAAGTTAGTATAACAGCATAATGCAGAAATTTTCCTGAAAGAACAAAATTTCTGAAAAGTTCATTTTGCTTTTAAAGTAAACTTACAGAACATACGCAAATTTGAATATGCATCTGGGACAAGATATTTATTAAATTCCATTAGATTTTAAGTTCATCAGCAGGTCAAGTATGAAGAGTACTTGAGAGAAAAATTAGAGTGTTCATCAGTTAAACACTCTTACTTACCCCTTGGCCAACTGCAACCCGCTCCAATGCCTTAAAGGGAAAACAAAAAAACAGACTGCTGATATATTGAGTCTTATCTTCTAAGGTTTATAAACACACTGTATAAGAGTTTGTAAAACTGACATTTAGAAAGATTAATTATGTGATAACATGTAAGTTTATGCACTTAACAGTGTTAGTATCATTAAAGAATGTTCACTAGTATGCTTGTGTAATTTAGAGCTATTTTATAATGGATGTGTGTCATATACACAAACACATATCCTTGAATGTCAATTCTAATCATACACAGTCCTTGAATTTCAGAAGAAATTAGGAAACAGGAAAGCAAGGAAATGACACATTCTTGGCTCATTTTTAGTGCAGCTAAAACAACCAAATAAATCCAAAATTATTATTATGCACATATACAGACATAGATGTACTTATATATTTTAACATATTTTCTTATAATTTTAATAAACATATGATTTCATATTTTAGTAAACAAAGTAACCTAGACTACAATCAAAAACCTATTTTAGAAAACTATATGTATTTTTGGTCTGTGTGATCAAAAATTCAAATCAAATTCACATATGATCAAGTGCCAGGTAAAGAGAAAGTAACATGTATTGTTACAATTTCATATATACTAGTTTTCACATTTGTATTTATTTAAAATTCAAAACATATTTTTACAAAATATTTCCTAACATTTCTAATAAATACTCATAATTCAAAACATATGAAAGATTTGTCATAATTTAAATAAGGAACAGACTTCTGAAACTGAGTTTTTAGACATAATTCTACATATATATAATTTTTAAACTAAATTTGATTTTTAAAATTTAAAATTTAATCTAAAAATTTTAAATTAGAAAATATTTCAAACACAGAAAAGTAATACTTGTATAAGAGATGTGCATATACTTGCTACTCAAATTTAAAATACCCATATTTGCTTCAGGTCTTTAGATTTTTATAAATGAAACTGTTTATTCATAGCTAAATCAAACACTTTTAAAATGAAAAGATAATTTACAGATTATCTTTTTATAAGAGCAATTTTTGCAGATACACAAGATCACTGACAAGTAACTTTCCTCAAGTTGCATAGCTAGTTAGCAAAAAACTGAACAACTAAAAACTTGTTATTTGAATCCTGCTTTATTCTCATGTCCTCACACCATGTAGAGTTGGTAGGAAAAAGAATTCACTGCATGAAAACTGGCTTCACAGAAATGGTTTGAAGAAAAAAAATGTAATTTTCCCATTTACTTGAAGGATACCTTCACTGAACATCTAGAGTCAAGTAGAATGTTATGAATACAGTAGACAGCTATTACACAATTTTCATATTATGTTAAACAGCAACAGGTTCAGAACACATTTCGCACTGAAGATAATAAGGAATTTTCATTGAGGGTATTCCTTGTGCCAATTTCAGATTAAATTTTTGTTATAAATTTTCTTAAAAGCTGAACTGAATTAAAAAAAAAAAAAGAGTCTTTAAAAAGGTGATTTGGTGTTAATAAAAATATCATATAGCCCAGGACTGCTTTTGGTATGTGTTACTGATGAGTTTAATTTAGAAACAGAAATAAGAAATTTTTATTACATAATAAGAGATAATCAGGTAGGTGGTACAAAGTGTTTTGCAAACATTAATACTGTTCTTGAACACTGACAAAGAGGATAAAGAAATCATACTAAGTATTCATTTCATACTAGTCTGGAATAATTTAGAAGTTTTATCAGGCTTAAGGTATGCTAATGAGATTGCTCAAATTTAATTAATATTTTGTGTCTGGTTAGTATCCATAACTGTTTATTTGAAAGCATTCCCCAGAAAAGTATCTTTAAAAAAAAAAAAAAGATATTACCAAGAAATTGCCAAAACAATTTCTCTGAGTCCTGTTTAAGCTTTGAATATTTGTAAAAAATGTCAGTTATGAAGCAAAAGGTAATAAAATAAGATATATTAAAAAATTTGTTCTTACACTTTCCAGCATTACTTTGGAATCGAAAAAATAAGTCAAGGGGGACATGGGTTGAGATGGAGCTAAGGAGTAGGGCATTCCATGGGCAGCTGACATTGGTCAGGACTAGCATGGTCTGCTAATTCTATATTTACAGAATTTATTTTCCAAAGTCTTCTTTTTGGTTCTTTGAATGCTTAATAGAAATCATTATTTTTTTATGGATACAATATATTATTTTGACTTTCTAAGGGATATTACACAGTTCTTTCCTTTTAGATCATCTACATTTCTTCCCAGTTGTTTTTTTTTTCCTTCTTTAAAATCTAATCTCTCTTTTTTTGTTGGACTTGCCTTAGATATCTATTGACTCTTGGCTTTCAGTTAGTAATTAAAATGAGGATGACATAAATCGGATTAGAAGTATTTTGCTTACGAGTGAAGACTGTTGGTTGTGGGTCTCACCACAAAGGGATAGATCTATCTTGTTACACTGTAAGTCCGTGATGCCAATATCTTGAGGTCTTTTCTCTGAGGCTAGTTAGATTCGCTTTAAAAAGACTTTCAATTTATTACTTCAAGGGTATAACACTAGCTACAGCATTTTGATGCTCAAGTTATCACAAGAAGAACCTGTCATTCTAACAAGACCTTGAACAAGTACCATTTACTAGAGAGTGAGAGAACAAGACAAATTTCAGAAAAGTAGTTTAAATGGGGCTACAAAAGGAAACTAGTATGTTAGCATAAATACATTTCTAAGATAATTCTAGTAAATATAACTTAGAACACTGGCACACTATTTCTTACATTGCTATGTAACAAAAGCATAGAAATAATGGACTCTAAAAGAATAAGTTTACTTTGCAGTTGGACATTAAACATATTATTTAATCAACTGTATTTTATTTTTTATTTTCTTAAAATTTTTATTGTATAAATTTAAACTGTACAATGTGATTTTTAATACATAGATAGATAGATAGATAGATAGATAGATAGATGGATGGTTCCCAACTTTCAACTTTGTGATAGTGCAAAAGTGATATGCATTCAGTAGATACTAAACTCTGACCACTCATACAACCATTCCATTTTTCACTTTTTATATAGTTTTCAATAAATTGCATAAGATATTCAATACTTCATTATAAAACGTGCTTTGTGTTAGATGATTTTGCCCAACTGTAGGTTAATGTAAGTGTTCTGACCATGTTTAAAGTAGTCTAAGTTAAGCTCTGATATTGGTAAGTTATGTGTATTAAGTGCATTTTTGTGTCAAGATAGTTTCAATGTATGAAGAGTTTACTAAGATATAACCCAATCATAAGCTGAGAAGCATCTGTATCTAGATAGATATGTTATTAACAACATATCCACCATCTTACATAATTACCTTTTGTGTGTATGTGCAGTAAGAGCACCTAAAATCTACTCGTACATTTCCATTATATAATACAATATTAACTATAGTCCTTACGTTGTACTTTAGATCTCTAAATTTATTAATCCTACATAGCTACAGTATTTTAAATTTCTGAAAACACAAAAATCACTTACATTATTGGAATCATTTCTTTGTAAAGTGACATAGTGCCATGAACAGAGAACATTATGGGCCAGACTGTTTTAGATCTGAGGGCACTAGTCAAATGCAGCATAATAAATGCTTCATTTAATTAGATAGTTACTTCATCTCCCAGTTAGCTTAATATTTTTCCCATCTATAAAGATTTAGGAAACAAAATGATCTGCTATAAAGAAACACAAACCACGGAGCTTTACATTATTTTTATAGAATAATTAGATTATATATAACTTTTGTTATGACACTGCATGTAGAGTGGATATTGTTTAAAGGGCAAGCCATTTTTTTCTTATAATTTCCAATGCACAAAAGCATTAATGAGGCTGTTCTGCAAACTTTGGCATTGAATATATAATACTAGCCCAAAATAATAAATTCTGCAACATCTGGATAAAGCTGTTATTCCAGGAAAAAATATAACCATACCAAACATGCTGACATTCTGGCATTACGACCACAGCACCATCTCTCTTCCTTTAAATAGCGGCACATTGGAAATCCCCACTTTTCCTGAGTACATTCTGCAGATGCAGGAAAAATATGAATTATTTAAATAAAATTCTTCCATTTTCAGTTAAGATAAATAATCTACTGAGAAAGCAAATCAGTCGCTGAGAAAGTTAAACAGTAGTTAAACATGGAAATGGTGATGTTTAACAGTTCATTCCAGTTTGTTAATTGAAAGCATACTAATGTTATGAAAATGGTATTTGCTCAACACAGCTGCTTTGTGTTTAAGTTCCAAGTCTGGTACCAACCAATTTGCCAAAACAATTTCTCTAAGATTTAGCAATTTAAAATGCAAATACTCTTGATATTCAGTTAACTATAAGAGACAAGCAATGAAATACTGAAAATTTATTGCCAACCTGACTTTTTTTTAAAAAGTGACTTACATTGACATTTGGCAATTTATTATAGAACAATATGAATTCATTCCTAACAATGTTGAAGCATCAGAATTTTTTTGGCCACTATGTTCCCATTTCAGAAAAAGAACAGCTGTACAGGCTATTTTTTCATTATATTAAGAGACTGTAATATTTTCAACTATGACCCAGTTTGGCTCAATTGCACCTATATTTTACAATAAGAACAACATTCAATGTTCATTACTTAATCACATATCTACTGCCTAACTTACACAGTTACACATGCAATGCGGTGATGTTCAAATTCCTGATGTAGAACTATTAGTTCCATAGGGTTTTTGAAAAGGAAAAGAAAGCAATTTCAATTTTAAATTAAAGCCTGTAAATTTTTATCTTTTTTTTAAAAGTGACAAGTAAAAGAAAGTTGAGATAAACATAAATACAAATTTCTGTTATATCATAAAAGGTAAAATAAAATAAAAACAAAAAAACTGCTTTATAAGAAAATGCAATTGGGATAGATTCAACTAAATAAATGTTTGTACCAGACAATAAATGTCTGAACAGATAAATTTTGATTAAAACAGAACAAGTTTAAATTTTACAATCACAGCCTGAAAAAAAGGTTTCTTTCAGGTATTAAATTAAAATTTATAATAGACCCTACTGAAAATCAGATGGAAGATACGGACCATTCCCCCCCCCCAGGGAATATAAATAATAATACAAATACACAACTCAACAGCAAAACAATTCAATAATGCAATTAAAATATAGCCAAAGGATCTGAATAGACATTTCTGAAAAGATGGCATACAAATGGCCAACAGCTATATGAAAAAATGCTGAATATCACTAATGATCAGGGAAATGCAAATCATATAGCCATATGAAAAACAATATGGAGGTTTCTCAAAAAAAAAAAAAAGAAACAAAAACAAAAACAGAACTACCATACATACAATCCAGAAATCCCATTACTGAATATTTATTCAAAGGAAAACAATCAATATCTCAAAGGGATATCTACAATCACATGTTTATTGCTGCACTATTCACAATAGCAAAGGTGAAATCATCCTAAGTATCCATCAAAAGATGAATAGATATAAAGAAAATGTGGTATTATAAACACAATAGAATACTATTTGGTCCAAAAAAAATCCTGCATTTGCAGCAATATAGGTAGAAATGGAAATCACTGTATTAAGTGAAATAAGCTAGGCACAGAAAGGCAAATATCACACATTTTCACTCATATATGACAGCTAAAAATGTTACCTCATGGAGATAGGGAGTAGAATGATAGTTACCAGAGTATGGGAGGAGTATGTGTGTTTCGGGGAGAGGTGGATAAAGAAAGGTAGATTCGCTGGTACAAACATACAATTGAATTGAAGGAATAAGTTTTAATATTCAATAGCACAGTAGGTGGCTACAGTTAACAACAATATACTGTATATTTACAAATAACTAGAAAAGATTTGAAATATCCCAGTACACAAAAATGATAAAGGCTTGAGATGATGGATATCCTGAATACCCTGTCTTGATCATTATACATTTTATGCATTTATCAAAATATCACACATACCCCAAAATATGTACAAATATTATTTATCAATGAAAATGCTAGTATATACACAGAACTTAATGTTGAGACACTAGTGTAAGTCCTTTAAATGTATTAACCAGCTTCAGTTCCTAGAACAATTCTGTGAAGTAGGTATAGTATTATTCTCATGTTCCAGAGAGGGAAACTGAGAATAGACAGGTTAGATAAATTGCCTTACTTACAAATCTAGCACAAGGCAGTGCTGGAATTTAAACTCAGGCAATCTGACTCCAGAACTTATACTCTTAACCACCAAGCTATATAAATGTGCATTAACAAACAATTTCACTTACAGTTGTATAGGACTCATAGAGCCCTTGCAGCCTATTCAAGTTCCAGGGATTCTGGGCTACTTCTATTTCCAAGATGACTTCAAACAGTGGTTTGGGTTTTATTGAAGGTTTTATTATTCAACTGAGACATTATTATTGTTAAATGAAAGGGTTACAATAAGTATTTTATTTTTCTGACAAAAAGAAAAAAAAACTGATCTCACTGCAAAAAGTGAAGGGCTAGAGACATGGGGCTGTGCTATTTTATTCAAACTGTTTTATTCCTAAGCAATAAAACCGCTAGTTCCCCCTTTCCCCATCCATTCTCTCCTTGTTCCTTGCAATAACAGAGCACTCAAATGTTGAGATTAGAGGCTACAATTCTCAGATTTCCATGCAACTACTAGGATACCTACAAGACTAGGTTGTAGCCAATTGAATGTGGGCAGAAATCCTATATGCAAATTCTAGATTGTATACTTAAAAGGGATGGGGGGTATGCTCTTTCACCCACACTTTCTACCCGTACCTGCTTACTTCATTTCTTTTCTGTCTGGAATGTGTTCATGGTGCCAAGCGAACTAAGACCATGCAAATAAGAGCAGTAGAGAGTAGTGCAAAGAAATAGAAGAATCCTAGATTCTTATAAGACTTTTTGGTTCAGAGCTTCTAGAGAAGCTCTACTTGTTGGTCTCTGGATTGAAATATACATGTTCCTGTGTCTTGTATAGTCACTGTTACTTTGGTTCTAAATCCATTTTACATTTAAATCTTCATCTTAACCTAATGTTTGCCAAACGTTTTATAGCTCAGCACTCTTGGAGTATAGCAAAATTTGTATATCACACAAGAATAAACAGATGAGGATGACTGTGGTCACAGGAAAAACTCAGGGAACAAAGAAAACCGTATCTCAGGAATAACCATAAAACATTCATGGCACAGTACTTAACTACCTCTTTTCTAATTAACACAGAAGTCTTTTTCTGAGGATGTGCTACTTGAGCAGAGATCTAAATCTAATAAAGAAGCATGCCATGAGAAAAAGATTTAATGAAATATGAAACAAAATTTAAAAACTGAGCTTCCAGTAGGATATATTTATTCTCCAAAAACAAAATAGAGAATATCTCACAACTTGAAATGATAATTGACTAGCAGTTTTTTTAGGTATGCTTTAACTTTTCTTTTTTCTTTTTAATTATACTTCAAGTTCTGGAGTACATGTGTAGTTTGTGCAGAATTGTTACATAGGTATACACATGCCATGGTGGTTTGCTGAATCCCCCCGTTATCTACATTAGGTATTTCTTGGAATGATATCCTTATCCAATCCCTCTACCCCTAGCTCCCCCAACCCCCAACAGGCCCCAGTATGTGATGTTCTCCTCCCTGTGTCCAAGTGTTTTCATTGTTCAACACCCACTTATGAGTGAGAACAAGTGGTATTTGGTTTTCTGGTCTTGTGTCAGTTTGCTGAGAATGATGGTTTCCAGTTTCATCCATGCCCCTGCAAAGGACATAAACTGATACTTTTTTATGGCTGCATAGTATTCCATGGTGTATATATTCCACATTTTCTTTATCCAGTCTATCATTGATGGGCATTTTGGTTGGTTCCAGGTCTTTGCTATGGTAAACAGTGCCACAACGAACATACATGTGCATGTGTCTTTAAAACAGAATGCTTTATAATCCTTTGGGTATATACCCAGTAATGGGATTGCTGGGTCAAATGGTATTTCTATTTCTAGATCCTTAAGGAATCACCACACTGTCTTCCATAATGGTTGAACTAATTTACACTCTCACCAACAATGTAAAAGTGTTCCTATTTCTCCACATCCTCTCCAGCATCTGTTATCTCCAGATTTTTTAATGATCGCCATTCTAATTGGTGTGAGATGGTATCTAAGTGTGGTTTTGATTTGCATTTCTCTAATGACAAGTGATAATGAATCTTTTTTCATAAGTTTGTTAGCTGCATAAACGTCTTCTTTTGAAAAGTATCTGTTCATATCCCTTGCCCACTTTTTGATGGTTTTTTTTTTCTTGTAAATTTGTTTAAGTTCTTTGTAGATTCTGGATATTAGCCCTTTGTTAGATGGATAGATTGCAATTTTTTTAACTTCTTCTAATATCCTAACCAAATACCTACAAACAAACAAAGTTGTAACACTTGAAGAAGAAGAGATGAAAGCCAACATAGTGCAGAGCATGAAAAAAATCCAAAAAACAATTGATGTGTAATGAAAGGTATAATTAGTAGGCCATCACTGCTCTGTGATTTACCTTAGGCTGCCAGGAAAAAGGCTTATCTCCTTTTTGAAAATAGGCAGAGAGGTTTTTCCCTCAGTGATAATCTAAAGAAAACTTGGACTGGAAAAAATACTACTGAATATTAGATTGAAAGGGGTACAGTATATCTAAAAAATATACTATATTGGAAAGGGTATATTATTAGAAGAAAAAAACTAATACAAGAAATCCACAGCCAAGTATACTTCCAAATTCTTGACCCACAGAAACTATGAGAGATAAGAAATAATTATTGTAACTATAAGCTATTGAGTTTGGGGTGATTTCTTTCACAGCATTAGATAACACATACAGTCTACAGTTAGCAATGAGAAGTAAGGAGGTTTATTCCACACAAGGAATGTGGGAAAGACATCCACTGCTTGAAGAGTATGGTAGTGTGCTTCATTGCAAGAGTTAGGTTTTGATTAGGTGAGAAAATAAAGAAACTTTCAGAGAAGAGG